ATAAATAAATATTTAAAAAAATAACACTTATCAATTCAAATTTAATTAAAATAACAAAATTAATTCAAAATAACACTGATCGATTTAAATTTCTGTATGCTAATAATACATTGATTATATCTAATTAAACTATTATTAGCAATTAATGTTAACTTGCTTCACTTAAATCTAGACTATTGATGTTTGAAACTATTAAATGGTTTTGTATATAGATTTATTAACACATGAATAACTTAAATTAAGAAAACCTTCCAGGCACTGGTGGAGTATGCCTTTAAACTCAGCACTACCAAGTATCTAGGATTCTAAACATGATACTGCAGATATTGAGAAGAATTTATGAAGGAGTCTAGAGAGCACAATTCTATTTTTACCACATATATGGAAACTAAGGAGATAGGGTAAAGTCAAATTTACTTAACAAATCTTGAAATGTGCAGGCAGAATGCAAAGTAGGGAAGTCACCAAAAAAATGCCCTATAACCAAAAGATATTTTCCAAATCATAAGGTCTAGAGTAGCTCTGACTGAATAATTGCAGTATATTATTTGGAATGTATGTTTTAAGGATAGAAACTTAGTGCATAACAGCTCTATTTCCCAAATGGCAGTTCATGAACATTTGCTGGGCTCTTACCAGAGCAATACAGTGAAGTTCGATTGTGCCTACAGGAGGTCCAGGAAAGCTACGGATATCAAGATGATACCAGATTTTTAAATTTTTAACTTTTTCATCTGAAAAAAAAAACAAAAACAAAAACTATAGAGACAACAACAGACAAGAACTTCTTATTAGAGTCTTCAGAATTCTACACAAATATGACAACCATAAACATACCACTTTGAACTTCCTTTTCTTTTAGTTTCCTTTTCCTTGTACTCACTATGTAGCTCAGGTTGGCATTAAACTCCCTTGATTCTCATACCCCAGAGTTACAAATTCTGAAGTTATAGGCATGCACCACCATGGCTGACACCTATTTCACTTTTATTGGACTTAGCAGGAAATCTGAGAACATCAAGTATAGTAGTATATTACTTGTGTTTTAATAAATATAGTTTGCCTGAAGATCAGAGTGCAAAGTAGTCAGCCAGAGGCCAGGCAGTGGTAGCACACACCTTTAATCCCAGCAGCCACACTAGTTTGCCATAGAGGCCGGGCGGCGGTGGTGGATGCCTTTAATTCCAGCACTAGAGAGGAATATAAAACGGGAGGAGACGGTTCTCAGACACCGTCTCAGTCTGAGGATTCATGGAGGCAGGGCCCCCATTTTGGTGTGAGGTAGAGCTAAGACTTAGTGGCTGGCTGATTTGCTTTTCTGAACTTCAGTTTGAACCCCAGTATCTGTCTCTTGATTTTTATTATTCATTCAACATCCAGGAGCTGCTTTTATAAAAGAGGTGAGCAGTAAGAGAATCCCCACTGTGTATGGCCAGGCAATGCTTTTGGCTTTATGCCTGTTCCAGTAACTCATTCATTTCTCCAGCATACAAACTTAAGAAGCTTTTAAGTGAAGCATTAATGGTCTGAATGAAAAATACCTTACCCTACCTTCTAAAACATTCATAAACATATACCAAGAAGAGTAAATAATGCATTGAAATGAACAGATCATTCGTAGTCTTATAGGAATTTAAATTAAGGACATGGTCAGGACTATGAGGCTCAGATAACATGGAAGTTTTTAAAACTTTTGCAATTTAACTCAAAAAAAGCTAGAAGGAGGTTTAGGAGAAGTAGTGAGATGATGTTTGTGTCAGTATTCCCAGTTTTCCTTTAGAGCAGAAAATAATGCCACTGTTGATATACAGATACTGGCATCAAAACAAATCTGAATCAGCCACAAAGTCCCTTTACAGAGGGGTTCTGTACTCGCATCAAATTCATTTTCTTTCTTTCCTGTTCTTTCCATCTGCATAGCTTCACATTTCTGGATTCTTTGGTAGTCTAATGTTGAGTTACCTCAGGGTGAAGAGTAAATTTCATGCATAGTCACAATATTATGTTTAAAAATTTTCAAGAACTAGCTAGGCAGTGGTGGCGCATGCCCTTAATCCCAGCACTCGGAAGGCACAGGCAGGTGGCTCTCTGTGAGCTCGAGGACAACCTAGTCTACAAGAGCCAGTTCCAGGACGGGCTCCAAAGGCAAAAAAATTCAGGAACTATGATTCTAAATGGAATTACATAGTTAAGCTACTAATTTCTTTTGTTTTCAGTTTATCTGTGAATTTAGGGCTTACAGTAATGGTATTATCAATGTCTGTCTCTTCTGAAATCTCCATGTATATATACTACTTTGCATGGCATTGCAATGTATTGTATTAAAAAACACTTTTTTGTGACCTCTTGTGACAATGAATGACATACAATGCTGCATTACACAGTATTATGTTTTATTGAACTTTTTTTGTACACCAGATTGGCCTCAAGTTAACAGAGATCTGCCATTCTCTGCTTCCCAAGAGCTGGGGTTAAATGTATGCGGCACCACCACATTTTTCCAGATAGGTTCTTATTTTACACACACACACACACACACACACACACACACACACACACACAGAGGAGAGTGGAGAGAGGAGAGAGAGGGGAGAGAGAGAGAGAGAGAGAGAGAGAGAGAGAGAGAGAGAGAGAGAGATTATTCCAGATTTGTGTTTTCCTAAGAATCTTCTGATTTTAACACAAAATATAATTGCACCTGTAACACATAGGGTACAGTGTGTGTGTGTTTTCTCAGGGAGGTTGTGTATGTGTATGATATGTGTGGGGTGTATATATTTGTGTGCTTATAATATGTGTAAGGTATGTGTGTGTATGTGTGTGTGTGCAGTGCATATGCATGTGGATAGAAAGAGAGACAGACAGAAAGACATCTACTACTAATACTTTATTTAAAAAATTACAATACAAATTCATTCAATAGAAATGCAGTTGGCATGTATTGTATGAGGGAAGAATAAGAAAAAGAAATAAAAAAGAAAAGAACATCATCTTGGTATGGTTCTTTGCTTTGAGAATTTTATTTATTTTTTTTGGGGGGTTCATGCCTCTCCAACACCCTCTTATGGCCCTGACACTCACACAACTCATTTTCCAGGAAACACACTCTAAGTATTACAATTCTCTATTTATACATTCTTCTTTGAACTTCTAAAAATGTTTCACAATGCTTAAGCTTATAAGAATAATAATATAATATTATTAAGTTTGTTTCATATGAGAAAGACTGCTTACATATCCTATATTGAAATAAGAAAAGCTTATTACAATATTAAGACAATATACTCCCCTGCACTTGGGAGACAGAGGCAGGCGGATCTCTGTGAGTTCGAGACCAGCCTGGTCTACAGAGCTAGTTACAGGACAGGCTCCAAAGCCACAGAGAAACCCTGCCTCGAAAAAAAAAAAAAAGGACAATATACTCATTAATAACTTATCAGAAACTAGTATATAGTCCTTATTTAATAACACAAAAATTTGTACAGCTTAGCACTAATGCAAATATAGACAATCTTTGTGGTAAGTTATAATAATCTTATTATGTTACAGCAGCAGAAATTTAGAAAATAACCTATATAAAATTAAATCTGAAATAATACAATGTTCTGACAGGCATATGCAATGCAAGTTGCAGTATGTATTATGCACTTAAGTGTATATTTAATTTAAAGGGACATGATGATCAGAATTTCCAGAGTGCAATAATAAAACTCACTAGTACAATTTTACCTGAGTATTCCTCAAAAATAATGGTAGATGGATCTGATGGTGTTTCCTGTGAAGAGACTTCTTTCTCCGGATCTGTTTCTTCCGGAGAGTCTTCCTCATCTCTTCTCTTAACGGTAAATGTAATTGCGCCTGTAATACATAAGTTCAGGATGTTAGTTTAAAAGAGAAGTATCTGGAATAGTCTCAAGCATCAAAATTACTATGAATTACATACCAAATATGATGAGGTTATAGAACAGTTGAATGGAAATTTTAAGGAAACACTATTAAATTCTTTTTTGTTTTTAGCAGACTGAAGTATTTTTTATCCTTTAAACTAAAATGTGTTTTGTCTGATATACTAGTGTGCTGATTTATAAAAAGAACAGTTTTAGTCTTGGAGATTTCAGTCCGTAGACAACTGACCATGTAGCTTCAGATGGGGGGGGGCAGCTTATCATGGCAGAGATGTGGGGAATAAACAAATCATCCCTCTCTCTGGGTATGAAAGAGAGGGAAGAAGAGGGCATCCTTTGAGAGCGAATTTTCATAAACCTTAAACTTCTTAGACTTTACCTCTTAAAGATCCCACTTCTCCCAATACACTATTAAATTCTTAATAGTTGTTTTTCAAAAGACTTCCTATAATAAGAAAAACTGGCCAATAATTAGTGTGCATTAGTTTTCATTAACTTAGTGGTCCTAGATGATTGTATTTATTTATTTTCTTCCAGAGACATTTATAACGTTTTTAGTTATTATCTCCTTTACAAACTATTTTGTTTTCTATAATCTAGATATGTTTCTTGTATTATGCCCCTCAAAATTTCAGGATCCTTTAAAAATAAATTTGACAACACAGCCCACCATAATCTTTGAGATCACCACAATGTATTTAATTTCAAAACTGCTTCAGATAGTTTGCTTCTTCCTCAGCAATTTAAATTATTAATCTAGAGCTTCACTCTCTACATAAGGATTCCATCCAACAACCTATTATTATAATGGGTATATATGGTTATTATGCTTTATGTTCCCAGATATCCATTCAAACACATATACATATATTTTTATGTTCTAAAATTTTGATGGAAGGCATGGTACAAATTAACAAAAGTGACTCCTGGCATGCCCAATACTGACCTAATACAAAACTGTAGAGTGGAAAAAGGTAAGCTACTTAATTCTCCAGAAAACACTATGGATAAAAGAAACAAAGTTACACTCAATATTAGGGTGAATTAACATATATCTAAGTCTAATAAAATTGTTACAAAGGCATATAGATTCAGGAACTACACCACTATGAAAAGAATACTGAAAAGTAAAATGAGGAAAGTATCATACTGTGAATCCTTCAATTCTTACTGCCTGCAAAAACACTGATCTCTACTGAGAATAGTTAATTCAATGAATTCTATCTCCTATCTCATACACTATCTCTTATCTCATATACTATTTCTAAGAGTAAAACTGCCATCGCAATATAATATTGCAGTATCCACAAATTATTTCTGCTTGTTATTTTATAAAAATAAATAAATAAATATATCACTATAGATAAAGGAGTACAATATATAAAACATTTATTTATAAAACCATTATTGTATTTGAGGAGGTATAAAGAAAGAGGAATGGATTTCTTATTATTGCTATCGACATAGTTACAATGTACACAAATTTGGGATGCTCTCATAATGTTAAAATGAGTAAAATTCATTAGAATTAACTTGAATTCATGATATTTTTAAATAAATCAGCATTTTGTAACTTTATGTCTTTAATGATCTTCTGTGTATTATTTAAAGAATATGCATGATTTTACATTTATTTCTGGAAACATGTATGACATATAGCTTCCAGAAACTGAATAATGGCAGAAAGAAGATTCTATGTCTGTTTTACATTTTCAAAATAGGTAAGACAGATATGACCTGTGCTTTTTTGTTTTTGACTTGTGCTTTCTAAAATTTGAATTTATTTGAGAAAATAGAAGGTATTTTTTGAAGATATATTTTCTAGCATATCAAACTAAAATTAAATTTTATATAAAACCAATTTCAGCTGCTATGAGAGTATTGCTTAAAGACCACTGTTCAACATTATTAGAATGTCAAAAATCAAAGCATGGCATAATAAGGATTTTAAGTAGTAGTTTGGTTTAAATTCTAGAAGAAAGTCAAGTCTCAAATAATTCTAATTATTAAAAAATTATTTTATATTTTACAAGGAAATACTAAAACTTATTTTATAAAAATATTTTTTATAGTCTGCAGAAACTTTTCCTTTGGCATAAGACAAACACTTGGGAAAATATGAAGAAGCATAAGTACCCATTTCAATGGTATATACAATATGGTTCTTCTGGGAAGGACTGTATATATTTTTAGCAATTAGTCATTCTGAATTCCATTCAAGTACTTATTCCTTAACATTAATTTGTTTTTTGATTTATGTGAACTATATTCACTGTGTTCTCACTAGTGTTGTGTCAACTGCTTGACTATTTTCCCCAATCACATTAGCTGCTTAAAATGCATTAAGGTCCTAATCAATCCATTACCCTCTATTGAAGCTGTTTCACAGTCCCACTTCAGGATTAATGTTTCTTCCCATTTTCTGCTTCCTTTAACTATGATTAAACTTTCCAGAGATCATATTTTAGCTTGATTTACAGATTTCTAAACCCACAATGAGATTTGAATTCATTGACATCAGTAATCATATCATATCTATCATTATGTGCGATATGCTATGGTAAAGTCCAGAACAATGAACGAATCTGTGTTCTAGCTGATCAAAAGATCATACATTGTGCTGAGGCACTCTGGTGACTCATGAAATATGACTATCAAAATCATTTTCTAAAATTTTATAGCCTCACTAAGATCAACAAAATGGTTACAAGGAGGACATATTAAATAGAATTGTTAATTCTTTTTTTTAGTTAAATGTATTCATTTATTATTTACTTGTTTTTCTATTATGCAGTTATTTTTTGATGTAAGAATTTTAATACATTTTCTCATTTTATATATTTTGTTCCCACTCCCTCTCCTCCTCCTGTCCCAGCCTCCCCTCCCATCCACTCTCCAGAAAGGGTAAAGCTTACCATGGGGAGTCAACAAAGTCTAGGACCAAAGCCATCCCTCCTGTATCTAGGCTGAGCAAGATATTCTGACATCTTAGAGCAAGATATGCTCTAAGATGTTGTGGGAGCCAGCCATAATAAGCTAAATATGGACAGGTCACCCAAAGGGAGTTCTTTGTCAGAGTATAACTCGGCCATTGATAAATTTAATAAGAGGCCGGACTCTTAGTAGTTTACCCTGAGATTACACAAACCCCATCCAAAAAAAGACCATTCAAAAAAAAATGTCTGGCATTCCAACCATTGTAGATAGGATCACCTGCCAGTGCACATTCACCAAGACACCCCTAGACAGATGTCAGCCAATCAGAGGTCCTGAACCTCAGAAACCCCTCTTCCCCACCTTTACTACAATAAAAACCAAATTCTAATTGAGCTCGAGGCTCTCCGGTTTTTCCAATATTTTGGACACGGCTAGACTGAGTTTCCAAACTTGATTAAAATAAAGGCTCTTCGCTTTTACATATGGAACTTGGTTTCCTTGTTGTCCTTGAGGGAACTTCGCGGATTTGGGTGTAAAAGATGCTAATTCAAGCACTAGGAATAAACTCTGGTCCCACTGCCAGTGGCACTACAGACTGTCCAAGCCTTACAACTGTCCCGCACATTCAGTGGGCCTAGTTTGGTCCTATGCAGGTGCCCCTGCTATCAGTCCAGAGTCACTAGCTCAGGTCAGCTGTTTCTGTGGGTATCCCCATCATGGTCTTTATCCCTCTGTTCATATTACAGCTCTTGCAGTGGTCTCTGGAAACATGGCCCAGTGCTTCACTGTGGATCACTGTATCTTCCAAAATTTGCTGTTCATAGCAGCATTATTTGCAATAGTCCAAGACTGAAAATGACCTAGATCCCCCTCAACCGAAGAATGGATAAAGAAAATGTGGTGCATTTACACAAAGGAGTACTTACTAATCAGTGGAATAAACAATGACATCTTGAAATTTGCATGCAAATGAACAGAACCAGAAAAAGAAAAAAAAAAAAAAAGGAACCTATCCTGAGTGAGGTAACACAGACCCAGATAAATAAACATAGTATGTACTCACTCATAAGTGGCTATCACACATAAAGCAAAGGATAACCAGTCTGTACGCCACAACCCCAGGGAAGCTAGGAAACAAGGAGAACCCTAAGAGAAACATACATGGACACATGGATTCCCCCTGGGAAGGGGAAACAGGCAAGATCTCCTGAGAAAACTGGAAGTGTGAGGTGGGGGAGAAGGGAGGGTGGAAGGGCAGGGGGAGGGGAGAAGTAGAACAGGAAGGAGAACATGAGGGAACAAGGGAAAGGGATGCTCAAGAACGGGGAAGAAGAGAGAGGGAGAGAAAGGAAAGAGATGTCTTCATAAAGGAAGTCATTAAGGAGTAAGCTAGAAACATGGCACTAGGAAATCCTCGGAAATTTTCTAGGGAATCCCAGTGATTCACAAGGATGACCCCAGCTAAGACTCTAAACAGCAGCAGAAAGGATGCCTAAACTGATCTTCCCTGTTAATTCTTTTTTATTTCTAGCTGAATAATTTGAAGAGTCTTTGGACAAATCATTTTTAAAATGTGCCACATTTATTTTTTATTATTTGAGTACAAATGTATGTGCATGAGTGCAAATGTGCCACAGTGAGCGTGTGGAGGGCAGAAGACAGTAGGTTCTCTCCTCCCATCATGGGGATCGCAGAGATTGATATGAGGTTATCAGGCTTGGCACCACATGTTGTCATATGCCGAGGCAGCTTAATGGCCTCTACAAATGATTTACTTTGTTGTGTTTACTAATTTATTTATATGAGTGTGTTTGTGTGAGAAATGGGTGGAGTAGAAAGGGAAAGAGGTGACAATTTATGTGCATGCCTGCATGAATTCTTGTGTTTTTCTCTCTCTGTGTGTGTGTGTGTGTGTGTGTGTGTGTGCTCGTGCGCATGCGCAGGTGCTGGACCAAGGCCTTTTTTCTAAGGTATTTATAAACATTCAATGATATTTAAGAGTTTGTGGCTTCTTTTCATAAGCAACAAAACCCATACAAAGTTTTCTGTATAATAGGAAATTAAGAATTGTTATAATTTATGAAAACACACATGCATTTGTATGAGAGTGTGTGGCTTCAACAAAAGAATTCACAAAGTTTAAATGAGAAGCTTATTATGTACTGAGAGCCTATATTTGAAAAAAAAGGAAAGAAATTGAACAAATTAACGTGAAACTTATGAACTCATTTTTTCTTATAAAAGACATATTAAAATTCTAAAATTAAAGAATTCTACCAAGTAGTATGATTTATAATCAGGAGGAAAGAAAAAAGACAATCAGAATGAAAATTTAAATTAAAATTTCCTATCATTTCACATTTTCTGGCTTATCTGTAACAGTAAAATATAATACTCCATTGAGATGCTTGAAAGAGGGTCACACTTTCAAATTTTATCATGTTATAATAGACCCTTTGTAGAGATAATCTTTATCAAGGCAAATAGGGATGAGAGATCAGTACTTCCAGAGACCATAAGATGATAAGTACTTAATTATAATAAATTTAATACCCTTTTAACATTATGTTGAATGAGCATGTAACAATCTCCTCAGTAGGTTAATTCTTCTCAAGTATCACTGGGAAATTTATATAAATGAATACTTGATTAGATATAAAGAATAATTCATACATACCAAACATTAACTCTATTTCCATGTAAACTGAGTACAGGTTGAAAGTTTATAATATACATTTCTATAGTACCAAAGGCACTATCACAGAATGCCTTAGAGTTCATATATTAATATAGTTATTTGATAGTATCTCCTAAGGTTCAAATATAAACACCCTTAACGAAGTATTCCACTTCTAGAAATTTCTTCTACAGATACATTTGAACTTGACAAGATAAAGTTAATACTTAGTATAAAACACATTCCCTGAAGCTCTAATTATTTAGATAGAGTGAAATTACAAAGTAAGACTTTTCCCACATCATTAGTCCAAAAGAAGAATAAATTGTAATTTTATTTATTATTATCATATTTCCCTCCTAGCAATGAACCTAATGATAACATTTTATTGTGCATTTAATACCTCTGAATTCTCCACGTTTCCAAGGGCATACATGGAGAGTGTATGGAACTGAGCTCTCAGGTTCTATGGTGATATAAGAATTTCCCCACACTATTGAGAGATCTGCAGTTACCTAGAAAAAATGGATTGGAAAATAAGAATTATGTAATATCAATAAGAAAATATTTTCTTTGTTTTGTCATGTTATACTACTATAAATGTGTTGGTGCTATAAACTACTACATAAAATGCACTATAATTTACTTCCATTAATTTTATTGACTTTTCACTGAAAAGGAAGTAAGAAAATGGCCTTATATTAGAAAAGGGGGGGGGGATGACTGATAATAGGCTTGTGAAAAACCAGAACAAGGGAAATAAATTTTGAGAAAATGAACCTTATTTTCTGTTGCTACTTAATTATTGATTATCAGTATCTTTAATAGTTGGTGGGCAATTTTTAGTGGAATTTGATGTACAAGAAATAGACTATTTCAATGAATTTGCATGTTAGTACTAACACAATATGTGAAGAATATTTATGAATAATTTTGGCACAAACATTAAAGTTTCAGTTAATTGTGTCTTTATATATTTGTCTAACACTTTAAAGCATTTTTAAAGACTTACATTGCAGTTTTTGTTTATGAGTGTGTGTGTGTGTGTGTGTATGTGTGTGTGTGTGCCTATGTGTGTATCTACTTATATGTGGGTGCATGATCAGAACAAGGCCTCATGTTTCATGGATCTGGAACAATAGGTGGTTGTGAGGATAATTAAAAGAAGGCCTTGGGTCCCCTGTGACTGGATTTCCAGCTGGTTGTGAACTCCCTGATATGAATCCTAAAAGGTGAACCTGGGTCCTCCAGAAGAGCTGCAGATTTGCTTAACAACTAAGCCATATCTTCAGTGCCCACATAGAAAATTTTGTAGCTACAGTTTTCATTTATTATAGCAATTTCTTTTGTAAGAAAATTTAAGTTGACAAAAGTGCTATCTCTTATCATGTATGGGATTTAATAGTCAGGTGTAGATTTCCCCATATTATCAATCTGAAGTTACCTAAAAAAAATGAACCACAAAAAAGACCTCTGTTTTCACAATATACTGAATATAAACACACACAGAGACAGACATACATTACCAACACACATATATATTCATTCAGCCTCTAGTGAACAGAATCCTAGCCTTTACAAATTTTATGTATTTTTGGTTGCACATGTGAGTAGTATCGTTGTGTTTGTGGCCTTTCTTTGTATCTTATTTGAACACAAATAAAAAAATGTCCTTCCTTTTGAAGACTGCATAATTTATTGAACGGACATACTAGCACACTACATGCTTCTCCATCTTTGCACTTACTCATCTATCTAGTCAAGCATTCATTCACTATCTCCCTCTCTGTATCTTCCCTCCTTCCTTACTTTCCATTTCTTATTTTTGAGACAGGGTTTCCTTCTGCAACCCATGCTGGCCTGGAACACACTGACCTCACTATTTACCAAGGTATCCTTGAACTCAAAGCAATTCTACAGTGCCAGCCTTCCAAATGTTATATTGATATTACTGAGAATCTATTTTATGTATGTAACTAGACACACATTCTGCTATTTCTATTTTGATAGCTCATTTTTTTCTTTTTTTTTTCAAGTGTTTAAAAAAAATCAAATGGTATTCCAGGTGTGGATCATTTTCATTTTGTCTATTTCAAATTGGATCAGCTTTTCAGATACGTAGATTAATATATTTTTTTTAATTTCTGGAACTAATTCTTTTCTTTAGTCCTTTGATTTTTTTTGTCTTTTTCATCTTCTCAAGTACTACTGCTAGTGATATGCTGAATATGCTTCTTGCTGCTTCACAGATGTCTGAGTTTTGGCAATGTTTGATTTTTGTCTTCTGCTGTTACTTTAAATCTATACCTAAGGTTTGTTTCATTTACTTTACTTTTAATTACAAATTATATGTAAATAATTTAAAATTAAATTTAATTATAATTAAATTTAGAAATTATTAAAATTACAAATTAAATTACAAATAAAATTCTGCCTTATTCAGACAGAACTCTCATGTATGCTGTAGGTGAAAAATTCAACTATCTCATCTTTCTTTAGCTGGCTAAAACCTCTATACATAAATGTGACTTGCTTGATTCCAAAGGATAGACAACATCTTTCAATATTGCATAAGTGCATTTCATATTCTAGGTCTTCATAATATGAAGTTTACAATCAAATTTTTGTTGGTTATTACTTATATTATATGTGTCAGCAAAGACAAAGTTAAATAGTAATTGAGTGCTTTTGACATATAGTCTGAGAACAGGATTTTTCTATCAAAAAAGATCTCTTAGATAAGCTAAATAAGAAAACCTTGCTAGTGGATATTGCCAGGGTAACTTAAGAAAGGTCAAGTATAAATCCATACCAAAGCTGCATATCCTCTTGTTTGAAAGACTTCCATTATTTGTATGTGTTCCAGGTGCTACTACAGGTGCAAAGTCGCAGAGGTATGCAGAATGAGATAGGTACAGGTCAGGTTCCCAAATTTCATCAATCTTTACTCCAAAGAGCATTTAGAGTTTTCCTCAAATATGTACTCCTTCATTTACAGATTTTTGAGTATTGTGATATATTTATCCCATTAAAGATTTTAGGAATCAATAGATTTACAGAATTATTTAAATAAAAGACAAAAGCACTTGAATACAAGTGGAATACAAGTCTTTGACTGTAGGATTTTTGTTGTTGTTGTTGTTGTTTTGAGACAGAGTTTCTCGGTAGCTTGACGGCAAGGCTGTCCTTGAACTCACAGACAGCTGCCTGCCTCTGCCTCCTGAGTGCTGAATTTTTAAGAATATGTATATGCTGAATTAAATGAAGCAACAAGTATGGAGAGGGGTAGGGAACAGGAAAGAAAGTGTGGTAGGAAGGAAGAAGAAAGAGAAAGGAAGAAGGGGAAAGGGGGCAAAGAAAGGAAAGGGAAGGTGAAGGATTGGTAGAGGGAGGAAGGAATAGTTAAGAGAAAGGGAGGGGGCTGGAGAGATGGCTCAGAGGTTAAGAGCACTGGCTGTTCTTCCAGAGGTCCTGAGTTCAATTCCCAACAACCACATGGTGGCTCACAACCATCTGTACTGAGATCTGGTGCCCTCCTCTGGCGTGTGGGCATACATCGAGGCAGAATGTTGTATACATAATAAATAAATCTTTAAAAAAAGAGAGAGAAAGGGGGGGAAGGGAGAGAGAGAGAAAGAGGAAAGAAGAGCAAACATATTGATCACATTGAATTAAATTCCATTTTACAGACTGAAAAAAAATGAATGAGAATGGAGAACATATGTATTGAGAGGACTCAATGCAAGGACATGGTGAAACCTGGCTAAGTAGTAGTATTATTTCTCTCAATGTCTGGAATAATTTTCAGCTTCAGGCGGTTGTGTATCAGCTGGACAGTTTTGTTCTTGTCCATTTGTTTTCCTACTTTGTGGTAGAACATAAATAGCACTGTACAAATATGATATGATGACTGATGTAGATATGCAAATTGTAATGATGGCTTTAAGTTAGATCGTGACTACAATTTAGATATTGCCATCAACAAAAGAAAACGGGTAAGTAAGCTGAGTACAGGAGTCTTGTTCTACATAAATATGTAGAAGTGCTAAAGTGAAAAATAGACCTACAAACAGATACACCATTTCAATTTCTGGATATGTGTTGACTCAGTCTGATTTGTGTATTAAAATGCTAAGAATGCATCATCCATTATGCTTACATGTGAGAATAATTTACATTTAATTGCATAAGCATAGACCCATATGAAAATTTAATTGTTTTACATTTTTAACCTGCGTTCCTCTGTAAGGTAAAATTTAAAGTAACAACCTAGACACTATTTTTGCCATGGGAACAAAATAAAGTAAATAAATGATGTAGGATAATTGGATTTTTTAATGTGTTTTTAAAAAAACTCTTGATAGGTTTCCCTACTTGTTAATAAATTCTGAAAGTAGATAAGGGGTATTAAAAAAGTCATCTCCTTTCATACCTACCTACCTAGGTACCTTCATTCTCTCCACCCCATTTTAATGCCATACTTTATGGTTTCATTGGTTGCTAAAAATATAAAATATTATGTTCTCAAGGCCTCAATGTTATGCTTTATAATATGAACGAAAACATGAATATAAAACATTGCATCTGAGCTGAAGTGGTTCATCTGCCTAGCATCTACAAAGTCCTGGATGTGAGAGTAAGAGTTAAGAGAGACAGATAAGACAGGAAAGAATAAATAGAGAGAGAAAGGTAGAGGGATGAGCAAGGAAAAGGGGGAGGAAGGGAAGTGGAGAGAGAGAATATGAATATATTACACTTATACAGTGAAAAATAATGAACACGACAATAACATGTGGTCAATAAAGGCCACATCAGTGGCTACACAATAAATCCTGAAGCTAAGAGATGATACTGAAAGGTTTTAGGTAGTACTGGCAAGGAGAAATTTTAACATAAAATATTAACTGCAAAGAATATGCTTTGATATCTAGTAAGAAGTAAACCAAAGTGTATATTTTGGGGATTTAAAACAAACATAGAATAAGCTTAGGGACTTTCCACATTTCTGCCATATCCTCTTAAGATGAATGGAGGTAACTAAGGTTGATGGATGAAGCTCGTTTTGAGAAACACAATGGATGCATTACAATTCTTAAAGAAGAGTAAGAATTGGATTTTATTTTTATTTTTGGTGCTGAGGATTAAACTCAGGGCCTTCTGCAGACTAAGCAGATTCTCACCTATGACTCTTTCACGAGCACAGTGGCATATCCTGCAATTTCTGCATTTAGGAGATTAAGATAGGTAGATCTTGAGTTTGAGGTCAGTTTGGGCTACAAGGATATATCCTATTTCAAAATATTAAAAAAAATTACGCCTACATTTTCTTGAAACTATCTTGTATTATTATGTATAGTTTATTCAAGAAAAAATAAACATGATAAAAATAAGGAAACTTGAAAGATTTTTATAATTACACACTAATATTTTAGTATAAAACTTGTTTGGAGTTTATGGTAGCAGGTGGTTGTACCCTAAGAACTTGGCTGGTTAGGAAAAGAGAACTGTAATTTGAGGCTATGGCAAGTTGCTACCTCAAATAAATAAAATAAGGACAAAAGAAAATAGAAAAAAAAAGTAAAAAACAACAATGACAAACTTGATAGATGCTAACCCCATTTAGTAATTAAAATTAAATTTATTAGCTGTTGGAATAATAAAAAAGTAGAACTATAATCATCTCCCTATGTGCCATTTCTGTACATCATTAGGCAAAATTAATTTATTTTTTTCACATGATTATTATATTTCATAGAATTCAAAGTGTATTCAGAAGGATGTAATTTCTTACCTTAAATGTCAGGAGACTTTTTGTATAATTAGGCACTATTATGGACTTGTCTGTCACATTTCCCACTTTGCAGTCTATAACAATATGATCCAAGGCCAGAGGGTTTGTACCAATCCCATCTATTTCAATGCTGTGTGCCATACCATCTACTTCATTTTCTAAAGTAAGTTTACCCTATGGGAAACAAAACAATTTTCAACTCTATAGCAGTCAGCAGTCATAAATCAATACCAATCTCTCACGCTATGTCTTGAGTCTCAACAATAGGAGCTTGTTAGTCACTGAAGCTTTCAGTTCATATAAAATTATTTTATTAAACAAAAGATTTAATAATGAAATGCTCTTAATTTTTATCTTTCTGGAAATCATATATATATATAAACATTAATATATATATAAATTATATGTGTATTTATCAACCTTGTCAAAGAAATATTGCTAAAGGAGAATTTTCAGATGTAGCAACTCACTTACTGAATAGGAACAATGATCTCATATTATTGAACATGCTTCTGAAAATAACCTAGATTAAAAATATCCATAAGACATCAGCACTGAGACATGATAAATATTGGCCTTTCAAATGTTTTAAGTCAACCAACCTATCAAGTTTATAGAACATACAAATTGTTAGACAACATTTGTAAATTAACTAAATTGGCTACTATCTATTCATTTGTTCATTTAGACATTAATAATGTAAGGAAGAATCCATGATTTCATACCATGATTTCACATTCCAAAATGGGGTTGAACGTCAAAGGATACTGGACAATTTCACCAGGACCAACATGTAAAAGTGGAGGTCCATGAAACCACTCTCCTTCTACTTTAGCTTGAAATTTCCAATGTTTCTTTGTTTCATTTTTCTAAAACAAAACAAAAAAAATAGTTTCACATATATTACAAAAATGTTTGTAAGACTAATTACATGCTAACTCTTATTTCTTAAGTTATAAAAATACAATTAAACTGGGCATGGTTATTCAAGTACCCTAGTACCAGCATGTGCATCCTGGAGTACCACAGCATCCTGGGAGATATTGTTAAGTTCAAGGCCAGTCAAAGCCACATAGTGTGAACCAGTTGCAAAAATCCAAGGGCTAGACATCTAGGTCAGTAGTAGCGCAGTAGCCAATCATGAGCAAGAATTACAAAGTGCCAGCAAAGAAAAGGGAAATAGAGAGATGAGTTGGGTTTGAAAGAAGTATAGAATCAAAAAAAAAAATTGAACATAATGAAAATCACAGTATGGAAACACATAATGAAAACCACACATTTCTCTGTAGGGTAGTTTAATTATTTTTAAATAATAAATAATAATGCAATGCTCCTAAATAGCATTTGATAAAATACTGCAATTGTTATGAATTACTCCATGTGTTCTAAAATACTAATTTGGAAATGTAACATAAAAAAACCAACTTGTGAAGAACTATTAAAGGTATGAACAAAAGTAAGAAGGCTACCTAGCTTTTTTTTATAAGCAATAACAGTAACAATGGCTCATAGGTCTATCGAAGCATTATTCAGTATCCAGATAAATTAATTTGTTTGCTTTTCCAAATGGCCGGTTTAACAATGGTACAATCACCCTGGATGATACAGTTTAATATTGATCAAGAAAAATAGAAGGCACTGTAAGCGGTATATTTCTCAGATAACAGAGATAATATGTCTTATCATTACAGATTTTTGTGCATCACTCTAACTGGGTAATTAAAGGATCTTTAGTAATTAAAGGATCAAAACCTAATTTATTACTCAGAATACAGAAATTCTCCTAAAATTCAACTTCCTATTTCTCTGCTGCATTGTCACTTTGTCTCATGGGAAACTGTGTCTAATGGTTTTTCTTTTTTTTTTTTTTTAATTTTAGAGACAGGGTTTCTCCGTAGGTTTTTTGGTTCTGGTCCTGGAACTAGCTCTTGTAGACCAGGCTGGCCTCAAACTCCCAGAGATCCGCCTGCCTCTGCCTCCCGAGTGCTGGCTGAGATTAAAGGCGTGCTCTACCAACGCCCGACTCCTAATGGTTTTTCTTAGTACCTATGAACTCATCTCACTTAAAAATCAACAGAATTTGGAGTCGTGATCTGAGAGTTTGTATTTCAGCATGGTGACTCCAGGAGAAAGAAATAATGCTTATTTTAGGCATTTGATGAGAGGTTAACGAAATCACAGTCGCATTCTTAAGCAAATAGATTCACTAGAAATAATGAACCTGTTTGTAATTGAATTCAGACTCATGAAAGAGACCATGAAATAATGAGGAAAAACAATTTCCAGCCTAAAATACAATTATAATCAATTTGCAAATCTCAAAAATGAGAGGTTAGGAGGAGTTTGAGACAGCAAAAGTAAGTGCTGAGTTGTAAAATGCAGCAGCCTGAAACTTATTTCTCCAATATTTAAAAATGGATATTCCAAGAAAATAGAACCAGAATTATGTCTGAAAACTTGACTATTTTTAGTATAACGGAGATTGGCATTAGTGAGCAGTAGACACACGCTGAGGCTCCTTTGTTGCTCTACTTCTCTCTGGCCTGGAAAGATCTTACCAAGAAGAATAGAGGGTTTAATGATTGTCCTGGTTGGGATTACTGTAGATTGCTGCCACCTGGGAGACATTAGCCTCCTAGTAAAATACACTTTGCTTCCTCCACAGTCTCCTCTAGACCTTCCTGGACAGCCACCGCCTCCCTTCTTTAGAAGCCCACAATCCCATCATTTCTTTCAGCATCTCTATCATTTTGAAGCATATCCTTCCTCTTTTGTGCTGACACGTGCCTCCCACATTTCAGCAGGGTAATACATTGGGATTTCTCTCCCTGCTAATCTTCCATTACTATTTTAAAAAGAGATTAAAAGCATAAATGTTTAGACAGAAAAACCTAAACTATAATGTGTTAAAAAAAAAAACCTCCTGAACAATGTAATAGGTCCTAAGATCTTACATACTTTTACCGTGCAGTTTCCAGCTGTAGCTTTCTACAGAAACCACCATACTCCGAAAAAAAATTGCCCCCCCCCTCATATACTGACCTCTGATACTAAGAGATACGCTTCTTCACCTATCCAGCTCTAGTAACAAGGGCTAAATCTACAAATCTACAAATACTTGTTTCCTGGCTATTTTATCTTTTCTATAAATTTGTTATACTGCACAGACAAGGTAGAAATAGCCCAATAATGGTAACATCTCTAGCTTTACATTATACATTTAGAAATTCCTCTTAATGTTCTTCAGCACGTATAAAGGGTCAGGAATTGAGGCGAGAAGCTCCAGTAAAATATGAAAATAGACACAAAAGAAGTTTTTACTTACTATTGGGATGTGCTGTGTAAGGGGTTCAAATGCTGGTGTTTTAAACAACAATTCAGCCTCTGGTTCTTGTTCATTTACTATACCTTCAACTACATATACACGCACATCATATTTTGATAACAACAAAATTTTACAAGGGTATCTTCCAGGCGCAAGAGGAGCAAATCGTAGAGGAATTGAAACAGTTCCTTCTAAAGCTAGCAAAACAATTTAAAAAGAGTGGTCATTCTCAATACTATGAGACATAAAATTGATTTTAGCATACAATATTTACTATTATTCTGTGAAATTGAACTCACTTAGAATAGACTACGTATCTCTAATGCTACATATTCTTTCTAAATCTTACCACATAATTTTATTTTTGAATGAGAGAAAAGAAAATGTCTTGAATAGTTTTGGGGAAGAGATCTTCCATTCTAAAGAGTTAATAGGATCACCATGTATTGAAAGAGTATATTGCTTTTATCTCACATTTTGAATGGCAAAACAGGGCAAGAGGAATTGCTATTTCAAGGGAATTTCAATGTTCAATATCAAATTAATATGAAATATTTAATTGGTCAAAACAAGTCAAATGGCTCCATTTAACACAGAGTGAAAAAATAAAGAGAATACATTTGGTGATCCAGTTTAACTGCCATATTTTTTTGTGACCTTGGGGTTCTCTAATGTAACTATTTTCAAATTCTCCATCTGATATTAACACCTAATAACTAATCATTAGCATTAAACTGAAAGCTAAGGTTATTTTTATGTTTATATGAAAATTCAAACTATTAAGTGCAAGAGCCTTAAGAATAAAGGGTCTTTCCCTCTAAATCTAAAAAACAAATCATTTTGTCAATAGAATTCATGGAAATATTGCTTTCTAAAACTTATTGAAAAAAAGCCACTATTTGTTTCTTTGTCTTAAACATCCAAAATAACTATAACAACCATATGTTGATTCTGGTGTATCTGTGTGTACACGCATGTGTTTCCTTAGTAGTAAACCATTTCTTTCTAAAATAGAAATATATTTCCAACATTATGCTGCCATATAATGTTATTTTATTTTAGACATATCATCCAGTTCTACAATGTATTCCAAGCACTGCAAGCAATAGCCAGACTGTTCTTCTCTGTTTCCCACTTACCCATATATACTTTCAGAGATCATTACTCAAACTATTTGTCTTCAAGCTATACTCTGTGCCTCCCTTGAGATACACATACTAAAACTCAAGAAATAGAGATTACTATCTATGGCACATAATTTTCAGTCTTTCCGTCATCCCTCCTACTTACCTACCTGCCTACCTACCAACACACACATGTGCACACATGAACACACACACACAAAACCACACACACATATGAAATAGAGGCTAAATAAAATACGCCTATGTAGAGCCTAACTGCGTTGATGTCCCAAGTTAGTGAGACATTATTTTAACTAACAATCCAAAAGAACTTCATCCTTTCTGCAATATTTTCATGAGACATTTTGTTACTTGACTGAAGAATTGTAGAGTAAAAAAGGAGTGAGTACTAAGAGGAAGCCAGGGAGAAAGATGATGTGTGTGAGCTGAAGTGTCCACAAGCCTGGACATAAAAACCATTACCATTCATGTTAGGGTTGACAGAGGAGAGAAAACTAGTTAGCACCTAAATATCCTGTGCTGTTAACTAACTTGTCCAAAACTCTTGAGTCCAAAAATTCTAAAATTACGCCTCATGTTCCAAGTGGTAGAAAGATCTACTTGTCAACGTAAATGACACAATGTATTCTAGATTAAAGTGCAAAGTGTGTTAGTTTTATTTACAAATTTTGAATTTTAGTAAAAGGCATGTGGGATTCCATCTTTAATTTTGATCTGATCAAAATTGCAGTATGGACCAACCATGACTTAGAGTCTGAATGAAATTTGGAGAATCATATAACACTCTGATTTCTTCTAGTATCCAAAGTTATATGAAAGTTAGTACTATATTATTCAAGAAACTTTGTGCAATATCTAAAATAAATCTCATTACAAAAATATCTAATGCTTGGGTTCATCTACTTAAAATCTGATGTTTGTATTCACATCTATAATCTTCCTATAGACAAATAAAGAAAAAATTCTGAAATTTCAGAAAAATTTCTAAAATTCCAAATTCATTATACAGTTTAACTTGGTAAACTAATTTACTTAATTATCCATATATAAAAGTGGATCAAAATTGGGGTGATCAAATAATATATTGTTACTTACTACATTCTTGCTAACTTTTAGCTATATTATTCCAAATGAGTAAATACAAGCTCTTCATTTGAAACTGAGCTACTGAATGTGAAAAACTATACTCATATACTAAATTATATCTATGTATTTGTGAAAATATTTTTACTGAAAATCAATCTATGAAAATAATACTGACAGAGAACAGCTGACCAATTGACTAACCATACTTCCAAAAACCCATGGAAATTTCTTTACCAAAACTACAAGTCACGAATGCCAATTGCAATTTTGTCCTTTCTAGTTCTTTTGACATGTTCTTATAAACAGAAGATCATATGTCTTACAAATAATTCAGTAAATAAACTGACAATTTCATTGTATTATAACATCTTCTCTTCACTGATTTTCCTCATTTTATAAAAAAGAATAAAAATTGACTATATAGTCCATCTTAAATAATAGTTCTATTGATAAATATAGAATATTATTAATTAAAAAATATCTATTCTGAAATGTATTTGATAATACCAAACATACTGTAATACTCAATATGATAACATTATTATCATGAACCTACAGCAACTATTTAAGAACTATTCAAATGTGAGCTGTCAGCTTGCTGCTTAGCCAACATGCTTGCCTGCTTTGAGCTATCAGTCACTGTTACTATTTCTATAGTCAATGCTCATGAGATTTATCCATGCTTACCAATTATTTTACCAACTATTGAGCATTGATTCTAAGTTCTTTTTTAAAAATAACTCCAACCTTCCTAGCCTACAATTAAATCTTTCTTCAGTTTCATTTCCAATACCTGTGTTTTAAGTGTGCTCAATTTCATTGTTAGGTTTAAATGTTTTTAATTGAATGGTAGTGTACTAGGATATATAGATTGTCTGTTCATCTGCATCTTTCTATTCTTTTTTATTCTAAAATTAGAGGAGATGTACTCTTCCTAAGAGATAATTTGCACAGGTTCTTACTCTCATATTACTTAGGCCCAAATGTATAGTATGCTTAACATACTGATTGGGGCCAATTGTCTGTACTAAACAAGGATGTACCTATTAAGTGTAGGAAGGATATTTTCCTACATGCATTGACCCATTTATTAAAACCCATTGGGAATTTGACATTATATAATTTTATCTTCTGGTTAATTAATAAATTCTATCCCCATCAGTTGTATATACCACAACTTATGTAGATGATGTCCATCCCTGCCACCACTGTCACTACCATCTTTACTACCACAATTGGATAGTCCCAAAAGATTGTATACTTCCTTGAAAGGATCATTTTGGGTACATTTTCTCCCACAGTTACAGTTATTTTAAGTCCAGATAGTCTTCTTTCAAGAGAAATGCAAGAGTAGTATTAAGAGATTGCCAGGCATTGCACAAATCTAGTCTGACCTCATTCAAAAGCAATTAATATACATTTATTCAACATAAAAATAGTTTTGGATTCCTATGATGAGTGCGAAAGTATTCAGTTAGAAAGTGGCACACAGTCAGTATCCTCATAGGTACACATAAATAAGTTTCTAAGGAAAAAGGAGATCACGCAAGTAGATTATTTCATTTTTACACCTAAATTATACTTTGATTGGGCGTGAGCCAACAAAAGACAAAAAGTCTGTTTTCCAGTCTGGTCACATCGGCTCAGCAATTATGGGAATTCCTCACAGGAATCACACAAATGGTTTGTTGTTATCTTTCAATTGTTGCTTAGTTTTAATTTTAATTTCTGGGTATCTTCATGGATCATTTCATTGAAAATTAAGAAAAGGCCTATCAAGAAGTGGTACATTGTTATTATTTTAACTAGGGAGTTTCTTTTCATATATAATTTCTAAGAATATAAAATTTCCCAAAGAAATAGCTGAAATAAGGTTTCATTTTCTAATTAAACCCAACATGGGGAAGGAAGGAATAAAATTGCTGATAGCAAATTAACTTTGTATTTTTCATTTTGATTTCTCATACCATAAAATTAGCCTCATTGTAATATATTAAAAATCAGCTCACTGATTTTAATTACTTTAAGACTTATCTACTAAGTGTACTAAATAATTTAAATGAGCTGCTACCAAGCTAATGAACATTATCTTCATGAGAATTTAAAAAGGTTTTTAATATTCTATTTAAACTATTCTGTTTAAATCATTACAAAGTGCATAGCCAGTGGTAAAAAAAAATCAAATAGAAAAATAATAATAAGCAATTACAAAAAATTAAAGTTGTAACTATAATCTTTTACATGAAACCATAAAGGTGAAATTGAGTTACTTATCAATCTGAAAATGTTTTAAAATTATAAGAAAATATATATTTCTTCTGTGGCAAATCAGTAGAAGACTTGCCTCTTAAATACACATGTGCTCTATTTCAGAACCTCACAAACAGAAACAAAAGGCAAAGTACTTATGAATGTGTGAGTACATGTGTCAGTATAGGACAGAATAAAAAGTAAGATCACAGACTCGAGGCCAGCCTGACTACACTAGAAGGTCCTTTCTCACAAAAAGAAGAACTAAATAAAACTAAGCAATACAGCCCTCTTCGGCCCCTCTGCCCTGTTTGGGCACATAACATCACCCAGCTCAGCCTTTCTGGGCGCTGGGTCCGAATCCTCAGGGCACCCACGTGGGCGGGAGTTCCTTTGTTTCAATAGCCTGCCTGCACCAAGCAAGGTAGGCGCTTTGTTTACAAGCTACCCAACCAGCACGGAGACCTGATCTCGGCGCCAGGAAAGCCAGCATTGGGGAGAGCCATCATTGGGCACGGTGATCTGATCTCTGCACCAGGAGAGCTATCACTGGGAAGAGCCATCACTGGGAAGGTACATCAGTAGGCAAGAAGACCTGATCCTGTTAAAGAAGATCCATAGGGGAGCATTCGGAGGAAGAGATGGGCAGGCGTCAATGCAAGAATCCACCCAACAATCTGAAAAGCAACATGAAACCACCAGAAACCAGCGATCAC